TATGGCCCTCTAATATCAGCCATCTCAGTGAAATCTGGTAAGTTATAGACTCTTGATGGCGTACAAATTAAGTGCTATCGGGGAAGGTGGTTTTGGATCTGTGTATAAGATGACATACAACTCTACTACCCGTAGAGGAGACTAGAGTAAAGAAGAGGAAGAAGGCGTATCTGAATAGACCATAGTTTGAAACTTAGAGAAAAACTCTGAGCTTGACCAGAATATCGATGCAGTAACTAGCAAGCAAAGCACGAGAGGTTTGAAAGAAAAAAATTGATTCATAAACTTATTCCTAATATTTGGTTAAATTATAAGTTATATCTTATACAATATTAAGATTTATAAATTAGTCTCTAAAATTATACCTAAATTTATAATGGTCTAAAATTTAATGGATATTTAGTGGGCGGGCGGATGCGGGGCGGGCGGATGCAGGGCGGGTGGATGCGGGGCGGGTAAGGTCTCAAACCCATCACTCGCCCACTACCCGCGATGGATACCACTTTCTAAATCCACACCCGCCCACTACCCACTAAAGTTATACCTATACCCGCTCCAATTGAAGCGGGTACGGGTCGTATTCCACGAAATTGTACCCGTTTGCCATCCCTATGCGTAACCGACTTTTGATCCCTGAAAAATAAATTTCTGGTAAATATAGACCAAGTTGTCTTTAAAAAAGATTTTTTGTATAAATTATTTCTTAAGACATTTTTAAGTACTTGACCTACCTAACCTAAACGTCGATAGCGGCTCTGAATCGTTTCTGAATTCAACCAATTTAAAATTTATTCGATTTTCCGAACACTTGACTTTTCATACGCCTAAAGTAAAATTCATTTTCGTTTTGAAAAAAGACGTTACGATCACGACTTATTTGACACAAATGCTCAATTCAAAGGTTTAATTTAATTTATTAACCTTTTATTTCTTAAATTGAATAAAAAAATCATGATTTCAGTTTTTATTCCAGAATTTGAGGGATTCATACACCCTCAAACCTTTCATAAAAATTAAATTTAAATGAAAAATCTTCTTAATTATTAAATTATAATTTAGAATTGTCAAAAATATATTAATTTTAAATTTTTATTCGATCCAAATCAATGAGTCAAATTCATGATATTAAATAGAAAACTAAACCCTTATACAAGTTAACTATAAGTTCTTATTTAAAACTATCTTCACTTTGAGTTAGTTGTTGAGCTCTTTCCATGCCTCAAGCATCTTAATTTTATTAGAAAAGTTTTGTTAAGTTTGATGAAATAACCTTCTAGGACTGCAATGAAAAGGACAGATAGAAGAATGAGAAAGTTGAAGCAAATGGAGAAAGTGATAAAAGGGAAAACTACTATCACGTTTATAACTGCCCAACAACCTCCAACTACCCACTTAACTGAACATAAAACCAATAAGTGTAATTGATTTTCTATTGTATTTTCTTACTGAAATTAAGCATTTTCTAGAAATGGCACAAGAAGTGAAATGAAGGTTAACTAATACCTTATGGAAATAGCAGCAATTATAGCTTATAATCTCTTAAATCATGGTTCAACTTTTAAATGAGGTGAGACTGAAATGGACCATTTATTTTTATGAATAATTAACGAAAAAATATTTCTCAATCTCGCTACACTATTTGGAATATATTTATTCATGCCATTCATTTTTTTTCTTTTTCTCAAAATATTTTGAAATTTTATATTTTTATAATTAAATTTAAATCAATAAAACTAATTTAAGAAGTGGATTAACACAAATTTATAAAATTCTTGTCCAAAATCTAATGGATACATGAGAAATTATTTTATTTTATTGTTGAGTCTGTCTTTAATTTACTTTCACTTATCTTGTGGGTTCGGATTTAGTATTCATATATTACAAAAAGTAGAATTATTGGGTCAGTCGGTATTGGTCCACAAGGTAAGCTATCATGCAAGAGAAGATTTTGACACCTACCAAAAGGTTCTTCTACGGCTATAAAAGGAGAATCATCTCATTGCAAAATCATCCAAAGACTGCTTCATAATGTCTCTGGCAAGCTTGTTAGCATTGGTCGTTGTAGTGGTGACGCTCTTCGCCCCCACTCCCTCACTCGGTTCCTACGACACACCCGACTATGGGAAAAAACCTAGTCATGTCTATACACCACCCGAAAACAATCCACAATACCATCCACCATCAAAAAAGGATCAACCCGAATATAAACCACCAAAAAAGGAAAAACACAAATACAAATCACCGAAGTATGAGAAACCCAAAGAGAAGTCACCTTATCCACCACCATCTTATTCACCATCACCTTATTCATCACCGCCTTATTCAGACACACCTTATTCATCACCATCTTATTCACCACCAAAGAAGGAAAAAAACGAATACAAATCGCCAAAGTATGAGAAACCTAAAGAGAAGTCACCTTATCCACCCCCATCTTATTCACCACCACCTTATTCATCACCACCTTATTCAGACACACCTTATTCACCACCAAAGAACGAAAAACACGAATACAAATCGCCAAAGTATGAGAAACCCAAAGAGAAGTCACCTTATTCATCACCATCTTATTCGCCGCCAAAATATGAGAAACCAAAAGACAGGTCACCTCCACCAAAGAATGGAAACCCACCTTACTATCCACCACCAAAGGAGGAAATCCCGCCTTACTATGAATGATCTTATGGTTTGTATCCCGCAAACACTCACCACTGAAGAAGCCTCTCACTACTTAGCCATCCAAAACTAGACTATTTTGGCTATATATTTGAAGTAATATGCAAGATTAAAAGCTTTTGTCAATCTCATCTTCTATGTATTGGTATAGCTTAAGATGTTTATTGTTTGTCATGTTTGATGAGAGACAATTAGCGTTGAGAATGCTAATCTCAGTACTATTTAAAGTATCCATCATGTGCCTGGTTCATAAAATATATAAAATGTCAAATGTAAGTGTTTTTATCACATGTTTTTCCTCAATAATTTGATGCATATTTCCTCTTATTTTCTTTTACGATCAAAATAGATGCCGAACTCAATTTTTCTTATGCTTCAACGCAAGCAAGTAGAAAATGGTGCATATAACATAAGATATGCCCTTATCACAATATATGACGTATAGATACTATTAAAGTTGTATTTATAATTTGATGAGAGATAGAGTTATAATTATAGAAAATAATCGATTCTTAAATCAACTATATAAATGGGTTATGGTCGCTAAGACATAGATCATCTCGTATTTTCTCTTATCTCGTCAAAACGTTTATACTAAAGAGAACTCTATCTTCTTGGAAGATGAACCAAAGAAAGACTCAAAGATTTCAATTTATCAATTAATTTAGATACGCTTCCGTATTTAGTTTTTTATTTTTTGATGATTTGACATGATCACATCCTGATTTTTTTATATTTGTTTATGATTTAGTTCTAACAGATTAATCACATAACAAGCTCAAATATTGTGCAGTCATACCAACCGGAGATGATGATAATTCATAAGGCAAACCCAGATCTAGTGCTCCAACAAGAAGCAATTCTTTTGAAAAACAAAGAAAATCCATGGAGCCTGAGAAAGAGGGGGCTCCTGATAAATAATCGAAGTCGTTGGATTTAACGATACTCTTTGAAGTTTCCTTTCTCTTCTTCGAAGTGTCTGATATACACTTTGAAAACTAGATATGAAGACACTGATCTCAGTGACCTTTAACTAATATTTATTATTAATCCAACATTTTTTTTGGATTAGTTAGCCTCACATATCACATCACAATATTATCAACTGACGTTTTTGGATATTTATTACTTTAAATAACACTTTAGTTTTTTTAATCTATATCTTTGTTTTTAGATATTTATTACTTTAAATAATGCTTTAAAATTTTTAAATCTATAAATTTTATGTAACATAGTGACAGTATACAATATGACAATAATATCTTAGAGAAAACTATTAACACTTAACAGTTAAAATTGATCAAATGACTCTGATCACCATTTTTCAACCCGCCATTTTATTATTATTATTATTATTATTATTATTATTATTATTATTATTAAATTAATGTATTTATTTACAAATAACCTAAATTGGGCCCAAAATACAAGCCCAACAGCAGGCCCAATAATAAAAACCCTAACGGCCCATCCTATTACAACTCTTGGCTAACCCTAACACCCACCGCCGCCAAGGATAAGAAGAGTCTCGCCTCGTTGGATTCGTTCGCCATCGTCGATCTCGTGATCATCACCAACCGTTTCAACCATCCCGTCTTCATCATCTCATCAAAACAGCGAAGAAAATACCAAAAAAATCAAAGAACGTCATAGATTTACCAACCATATCAAAACCCTTTGAAAAATATTAAATCTCAGTTTTAGGAAATGATTTCCCTACTCGAGCTCACAGTTTTCTCACCAAAAGACTGAATAATTTATGACAAGAAGATATTTGAATGATAAAAAGGAAAGGGGGAACATGTTTGAAAAGAGGGAAAAAAGAAAGGAACCGAAAACCAAAAAAAATATTTATTAATGCCATTCATTTTTTTCTTTTTCTTTTTTCAAAATTTTTCAAAATTTTATATTTTTATAATTAAATTTAAATAAATAAAACTAATTTAAGAAGGAGATTAACATAAATTTATAAAATTCTTGTCCAAAATCTAATGGATACATGAGAAATTGTTTTAATTTTATTGTTGAGTCCGTCTTTAATTACTTTCACTTATCTTGTGGGTTCGGATTTAGTATTCATATATTACTAAAAGTAGAATTATTGGGTCAGTCGGTATTGGTCCAAGAGGTAAGCTATCATGCAAGAGAAGATTTGACACCTACCAACAGTTTCTTCTACCGCTATAAAAGGAGAATAATCTCATTGCAAAATCATCCAAAGACAGTGCTTCATAATGTCTCTGGCAAGCTGTAAGCATTGGTCGTTGTAGTGGTGGCTCTCTTCGCCCCCACTCCCTCACTCGGTTCCTACGACTCAGCCGACTATGGAAAACAACCTAGTCATGTCTATGCACCACCCGAAAACAACCTATAATACCATCCAACATCCAAAAAAAGATCAACCCGAATACAAACCACCAAAAAAGGAAAAACATGAATACAAATCACGGAAGTATGAGAAACCCAAAGAAAAGTCACCTTATCCACCTTCATCTTATTCGCCATCACCTTATTCATCACCGCCTTATTTATACACACCTTATTCATCAGCATCTTATTCACCCCCAAAGAAGGAAAAACACGAATACAAATCACCAAAGTATGAGAAACCCAAAGAGAAGTCACCTTATCCACCATCTTATTCACCACCATCTTATTCACCACCACCTTATTCATCACCATCTTATTTACCACCAAAGAAGGAAAAACATGAATACAAATCGCCAAAGTATGAGAAACCCAAAGATAAGTCACCTTATCCACCACCATCTTATTCACCACCACCTTATTCATCACCGTCTTATTCACACACACCTTATTCATCACTGTCGACACCGTTTTTCGTCCGGGCAGGGAAAGACTGATACCAACTCGGGGTTTTTCTCTTTGAAAAGTGTTTAAAAATGTGAGGAGTCACCACCAATCATTTAAGGTGAGATTGGAACACAGTAAAAACCATATGATTGTAACAAAACCTTTTATTTTTATCAAAATACTGAGTTTTGGGGTCTACGAAAAATCAGAACTCAGGTTCGGGAGTAGGTTACGCGTGGGGAAGGATTAGCACCCCCACAAGCGCCCAAAAATTGGTACCTAGTTGGTTACCCTATATTTAAAATCCAAAATTTTGGGTTCGATCTTTATTTAATTTAAAAATCATTAAGGATGCAAAGTTGAAAAGGGTAATCGTTTATTGAGACCCATAGCATTCACCCCCGAGCGTAAATGCGGGAGATAAGCTATTATGTAACATAGCGACAGTATATAATATGACAATAATATCTTAGAGAAAACTATTAACACTTAACAGTTAAAATTGACCAAATGACTCTGATCACCATTTTTCAACCCGCCATTTTATTATTATTATTATTATTATTATTATTATTATTATTAAATTAATGTATTTATTTACAAATAACCTAAATTGGGCCCAAAATACAAGCCCAACAGTAGGCCCAATAATAAAAACCCTAACGGCCCATCCTATTACAACTCTTGGCTAACCCTAACACCCACTGCCGCCAAGGATAAGAAGAGTCTCTCCTCGTTGGAGTCATTCGCCATCATCGATCTCGTGACCATCACCAACCGTTTCAACCATCCCGTCTTCATCATCTCATCAAAACATCGAAGAAAATTACAAAAAAATCAAAGAACATCATAGATTTACCAACCATATCAAAACCCTTTGAAAAATATTAAATCTCAGTTTTAGGAAATGATTTCCCTACTCGAGCTCATTGTTTTCTCACCAAAAGACTGAATAATTTATGAGAAGAAGATATTTGAAAGATAAAAAGGAAAGGGGGAACATGTTTGAAAAGTGGGAAAAAAGAAAGGAACCGAAAACCAAAAAATCAAAAAACTTATCTTCTAGCCTTCAGACCGAAGATCCACGTGGTGAGAAAATTCATCCTGTGGCGGGAAAATCTTCTTAATTATTAAATTATAATTTACAATTGTCAAGAATATCTTAATTTTAAAATTTTTACTCAATCCAAATCAGTGAGTCAAATTCATGATATTAAATAGAAAACTAAACCCTTATACAAGTTAACCATAAATTCTTATTTAAAACTATCTTCACTTTGAGTTAGTTGTTGAGTTCTTTCCATGCCTCAAGCATCTTAATTTTATTAGAAAAGTTTGTTAAGTTTGATGAAATAACCTTCTAGAACTGCAATGAAAAGAAAAGATAGAAGAATGAGAAAGTTGAAGCAAATGGAGAAAGTGATAAAAGGGAAAACTACTATCACGTTTATAACTGCCCAACAACCTCTAACTACCCACTTAACTGAACATAAAACCAATAAGTGTAATTGATTTTCTATTGTATTTTCTTACTGAAATTAAGCATTTTATTCACACATCTTATTCATCACCATCTTATTCGCTATCAAAGCAGGAAAAACACGAATACAAATCGTCAAAGTATGAGAAACCCAAAGAGAAATCACCTTATTCATCACCATCTTATTCAACACTAAAACATGGGAAACCGAAAGATAAGTCACCTCCACCAAATAATGGAAACTCACTTTACTATCCACCACCAAAAGAGGAAATCCCGCCGTAATATGAACGATCTTATGGTTTGTATCCCGCAAACACTCACCACTGAAGAAGCCTCTCACTACTTAGCCATCCAAAACTAGACTACTATGGCTATATATTTGAAGTAATACGCAAGAATAAGAGCTTTTGTCAATCTTATCGTCTATGTATTCGTATATCTTAAGATGCTTTATTGTTTGTCATGTTTGATGAGAGATAACTAGCGTTGAGAATGCCAATCTCAGTACTCTTTAAAGTGTCCATTATATGCCTGATTCATCATAAAATATATAAATTAAATGTCAATTGTAAGTGTTTTTATCACATGTTTTTCCTCTATACTTTGACGATTATTTCCTCTTATTTTTTTTATAATCAAAATAACTCAACTTTTCTTATGCTTCAACGCAAGCATGGGAAATGGTGCATATAACCTAAGATATGCCCTTATCACAATATATGACGTGAAATGAATGAATTACATATTATACCTATTAAATAATTAAAATGTAATATAAATACATTGAATATTTAGATAAAATAAAATATATTATGCAGAGCCGGGAGCGCCTTGAGCGATTGCTCAAGGTCCCCAATTTTTTATCTTTATAATTATGCCTCTAATTTTTCAAATTTTTTTCACTTTTATAATTGAGATCAAATTTTATTCAATTTTACTTTTTATCTTTATAATTTAACTCTCTAATTTCTTTCAATCCCTTTTTTATCTTTGTAATTGAGACCCTTAATTTTTTAACCTTAATTTTAAAACTCATGATGTGGTTTTGAAAATAATGTCGACCTATTTCGGGAATCACCAGTAGTAGCCCCCTGAGCATACTTGCGGGAGATATATCGTTAATTCCCTAATAAGTGAACATTGCCTTCGGTTTAAAAATAAAATGGAATCAAACGAATTTTTATTAATTCTAATTATCTAAGGGTTATTTAAGGCTCTCTCTATCCTAAAGTGTCGAATTATGTAAGTTAAAGAACCTAAAGGCACAAACCTAGAAGTGTAAGTTCTAATAGTAACCCTATTTGATTTTTAAATCAGTTATTGAATCGAATAAGTAAGATGGTCCCTTGAGCATTTAGGCGAGCGCCAACTCGAATTATTCCCTAAATTAAAAGGACTAGATTGAAGTCTAACCTAAAGTAGAGGTTCTAACATTAACTTATATTAATTTTAATAAATATTGCTTCGAATAATTAAATTGGAACCTCGAGCAAAAGTGAGGACCAAATTAAGAATTCACCTAATTAAATGACTAAATGTGAAATCAAACCTAAGATGGAGGCTCTAATATTAATCTTAATTAATTATGTCAATAATAAAGTTCTAATCGAAGTTCGGGGACTAAAAGGTCACGATCTAAAATATCAAGTTCTAAAAGACTAAAAGTTTAAGGACCTGAATCGATAATTTCTAAAGTTGAGGACTAATTAATAAACCAAAAACCTAATTATTATCTAAATTAACCTATTAAAAAGGAACTAAGCCTAAAGTTTTTTTAATATTAATTATTAACAAATTTTAAAAGTCGAGCAATCGATTCGAATAATTGGGCATCTTATGAGAAAACTCCACTAGAATTGTTCCCTAATTAAACTAAAGTGTAGTCCTAATTTCTAAATCTGATTCGAAAGTTAACCTAATCTAAGAACTAAGTCTAAGGGTTTAAACTATGAAATATTGAATTATTTAAACAATCTAAATCAAAAAATTAAAATAACAAATAATAAAAAAAGCAGTAAAATAAAAATAAAAATAAACATAAATAAATTGCATAAATATTAAATTGCCAAACTCAAAACAAATAAAGTAGGCATGCAACAGGGGATAAATTAAAACAAATCAAAATTTAAAGGCTAAATCGAAACAAAATAAAAAATAGAATTAGGGACTAACGTAAAAAAACCCGAAAACTACATGGACTAAAAAATGAATTTACCATAAAAATAGAACATGCATAAAAAGGGAAAATAACAAAACCAATCCCTAAAGGTGACTAAAATGCAAAAACATGGCTAAATTAGGGGACTAAATAGAAAAATATCCCAAAAATTACAAAGCATAAACATAAATGGTTAAATTATGAAAACAATCCCTACTAGTGACCATTTTGTGAAAACACGGGTGAGTTAGGGGGACTTAAGTGCAATTTCCCCTAACTCACTTTATAAATACAACTTTTTTATATAATTTTTCATTTTTTTCGTTTTTAAAAAAAACCTAGAGAGAGAGCCCCCTCTCTCTAGAATTTGGTCGTCGTCGGTGGCCGCTCCTCCTCCGGCTGTCATCCCAGTCGCCACCGCCAGTGGCCGTTGGCTATCGAAATTCACTAGGAGGCTCGTCTCGACCTCCCTGTTGTCGATCTGGGCTTGGTTTCGCAACAAACGATCGCCAACGCCACGAAATGAGTCGAGAGCCTATCGACTTTCACTACCCGGATCTCCACCGTCTGTCGTTGGATCAGGCTTAAATTTCAGTATGTTGCTCACTGACTCCTCTTCTCCTTTTTGACCATTCGGATTCACGAACGGAGGTCCCCGCTGCCAACAAAGCTCCGGTCGAAGGTAAGATGCCCTCCTCTTCTCTTTGTTGTTTTCAAAATTAAAGGATAAAAAAAGAAAATTTAATCGAACTGACAAAAATAAAATCCTTGAAATGCCTCTGTTGTTATTGTTGTGAAAATGGATTACAAAGTTCCAGCCTCTCTTTTTTGTTTAATTTCCAAGAGCCTTTTACAGTGTTTATCATGGTTTTTTATACCCATTTTACATGGAAACGAAATCATTGTTATGGTTGCTTGATGGTGTCGTCTGCATGGGTGTACTGGAGTGGCATGCATGGATGACTCTCCTTCGATTGGGGTAGAGAAGGGCAGTTGCTGAGTGGGGTGTAGGGGCGTTTTACTGGTATTGGGTAGGGAAATCGTGGCCCGGGGTTGGAGGAATTGGGCAGTTGCTAGGGTTGTTCAGATCTGTGTCGAGTTTGGGCCTTTGGTTTGGATTTTTGGTTAGGTTTTGGGTAGTTGGACTTCAGGTTTGGGCCGGTTGAAAATATTATTAAGATTCGAACAATAATTATCCAGAGATATATGTCCTACTAAAACCTCCCTAATTCTATATGGAGGAAAGGAATACATACATCCCGGACAAGTAATACAAATAGCAACCTCAAATATTGGCTCCAAGAAAAAAATGACAAAACGAAATTAAAGATATTGACATCCGCTGCCACGACCATAAACACTACCCCTCCAGAACAACAAATAAGGACTGCAATTCTACAAGATTTTAA